TGCCTGCTCCAGGAATTCTCCTGGATGGCAGAATTGGTTTCCATAACGACTTTCTGATATAAACATATTTGATAAAAATAAGTTAACAGTGGAGCTGTGGTAGAGCAGATTCTCTGAGTGCAGGGAGAGGGAGGGAGGGAGGGAGGAGAGAGAGGGGGGCCTTGAAGAACAGCATTTTCTTTCTTATCCTCCCCCCTCTTCGACTTACCATAAACCTACTGAAAATCTTTATCCTATCCCTATGTACACAAGCCCCCTTTCTTCCTGGGCCTCGCATTCATGTGCTCTCTCCCCCTCGTTCTCTCTCTCTCTCCCTCGTTCTTTCCCTCTCTCCCTCCCTCCCTCCCTTCCTCCCTCCCTCTCCTTAGTTACCTGAAGCACTGCAGTATGTATGGGATAATATGATAAATTCATTTCCAATTCACTGCATTATCCCTTGAATATTTTAATGACTCATTGAATGGAGTAAAAAAAGCTATTTCAAATGAACAATTATGCTGCATTAGTCTAAGGGCTGATTATATTTAAACACTGCTCACATGGGTAACAGGACACAGCGACCTCAGCAGAGGAGAGCTAATTTGGCTCTTATCTCCAAATAATTTTACACCGCAAATTACCGTGAAAACCTAAAGGGCTTTAAAAACATTCATCAAAAGATAATATTCCACTTTGTAGCAACGTTTTATTTAAATTATTTTGAATGGGAGTGAAGGCATCTCTGGGATAGGACAATGACAGCTGAGTGGGGCACTATGAGTGATAAGAAACTGGCAAGGGGTTAAAAACAAAGCAGGAGGTATTGGGAAGGAAGAGACTTGCAGCCTTGGCCCAAGAGAAGTACACAGAAGCCAGACCAGCCCAGGAAACCCGCACCTTGCCCTGATGCTGGGGAAGGGAGAGGGCTGATATGGTCCAGAGGTCAGAGGGCACTCAACAGAGACTGAGTGGCAAGACTGACTGCTCCCAACCCTGGCATGGTGGCACATTCCTGTAATCCTAGCACTTTGGAGGCAGAGGTGGGAAAACTGCAATAGCAAGTTTGAGGCTAGCCTAGGCTACAGAAAGGGTGGCCCCTTTGGTAATAATAAAACAAACCCCAAGACATCAACAAACAAACAACAACAAAAAGGAATTACTTATCAATATCATCCCTTCAATTTACCCTCTTTACCTCAACTGGTGGTCCTGATAAAGATAATTTATTCTGCTTCTGCTTATTGTTGTCAGCTGGGTTCTGGATACACACACACACACACACTAACCACATGCCATAATTATTTATAGGTACATATGTAAATTTCTACAGGGTCTGCTGCTTGATTCATTAGGAATGAGGAGAAAATGCCATTCACTTTCTGTGGTGCCTCTTTCTAGGAAGCCTCCTCCTCTTGGTGAACTGAAACTCCTTCTTCCTCACCTCTGCCCTGGGGAAGAATGTTCTGTGTCCAGTTTTCAGTGGAGAAGCTAAATTCTGGGAGATGTCAGGGGACTTGTAGGAGATCATTCTGGAGCACATTGGAGCATGCATTTAAAACATGTATTTATTTAATGTGTGTGCACAGGTGCATGTGTATGCATATGTGGAAGACAAAGGCCAACCCCAGCTGTCACTTCCAGATGCTCTATCTTTGAGTAAAGATTTCTCATTGGCCTGGAATTTAACCAAGTAGGCTAGAAGAGCCACAGGGACCTTTCTGTCTCTGCTTCCCTAGTGCTGGGATTACAAGAGTATGCCTGGTTTTGGCTTCTTTTTCAACTATTAATTAATCAATTAACTAACTAATTAATTAATTATTTTAACATGGGCTCTGGGAATTGAACTCAGGCCTTCATGTTTCCAAGGCAAGTGCTTTGTTGGCTGAGCTATCTCCCCGGCCCCAGGGTGGATCACACATGCTGACCACAGAAGTCAAAAGCAGGGAGAGCTAATTCTTTCTCTGTTTGTTGGGTTTTCTATTTCTCTTATTCACTTAATATACTTAGAGATCCTTTAAATACACACACACACACAGACACACACACACACACACACACACACACACACACACACACACACACACACCACACACACACAACCTTTTATTACAGAAAAAAAAACTCAACCCTATAGAAAGGTAGACAGAATAATGACCCCTTAGAAGTCCTTTTGATTCAACCCAGAGTTGGTTGCCATTTATGGCTGCCAAAGGTTGAGGGCATTGAATGAAAGGGGAAGTGTGAACTTGGCAGCTCCTTTTCTCTCTTAAAACAAAAAAAGACATTCAGGACAAATTTTAGAATCATTGACGGTTTCTAGGAAGATTTTCTTTTTTGGAAGAAAAAAAGGTACTCGTCTCCTTAATTATTCTTCATATTCTTTGTCACTAGTCATGATAGTCTTTGTGGGAAAGTATTCATGTACCATCTTCCTGTGTTTAATATTCCCATTAACAATAAAAAAAAGAGCCTAATGAAAATATCTGCATGAAAAGCTCCGAGCGCTAATTTCAGAGACAAATAAGACAAGGAGCCAATAAATTCTTCTCCTGGAGTGAATGATGCAGACTAATTGATATCTCAATTGGGCCTCAGCAGAATTGAAGAGCATCTGTAAAGAAACCTGAGGACATGGCACCGGGGAGGAGGATACTATCCCACTGTGTGATGCTAGGAATCAGCAGTCCTTTGTTTGAAGGTAGCATCTCAGTGCACAGGCCAGGCTAGCCTAGAATGCCAGGTCCTCTTGCTTCAGCCTCTGGAGTGCTGGGGTCAGAGGTGTGTGTCACCATGTCCAGCTTGGATTAGAAATCTACTTCACTCACTGAGAGAGTTTCAGAGAGGGATCAAGGAGCCCATGTGTGCTATGTCTGCATCCCTGCATTGCATTCCTTAGCATGGCGAGGTTGGCTAGTCTTGTTGCTGAGCCGATGGGAACTGACAGGTGAAGGAAGTTCTACCCAAGCCTGCCCCTGGACCCTCATAATACCTCCCCTGTGTAAGATATCACCTTCCTGGATTTCATTTGCATTTGTGACTCTAGAGCTTAAGAGGTACTTGGCTTGGAGCAATGGCGATAGAAGCATAGCGCCCAACTGTTTAAAGCCAGCTATGGGCTATGGGCTATGGGCTTTTGCTCTAAGCCTTTTGCCTGAGATAACATAGATAAACATGATTTTAACAGTGTGAGACAGAGGTATAAATATTTCCACTTTACAGATGAGTACACTGAGACCCAAAGAAGCTAAGCAACTAGCCAAGGATTATACAGCCACTAATGGTGGGTTTGAGATGTGAATCAGAGCAGTCTGAGTCCAGAGTCCTTTCTTTTAACCACTACACTAGGACTGGTCCTATTTCTGGGCCTCTTTCTACCTTCTACTTTTTATCTAAGATGCCCACATGCCTAGAACTTTATCCTATTCTATCTGGACCCTGTGAGCCAGTCTTTAGGGGACATGGCTACAGATGCTCCCCCATGTTCCTGTTCTGGTGTGGATAGCCTTTCAAAACATTATCTCCACTGAAGGGATTCTGTGGCCATACCCTGGCCTGATGCGCAGTTATATCTGGCTGCCTGATACCAAGGCTAGCTTAAGTTCCTCTGAGTCTCTCTCTCTCTCTCTCTCTCTCTCTCTCTCTCTCTCTCTCTCTCTCTGTGTGTGTGTGTGTGTGTGTGTCTCTGTCTCTCTGTCTCTCTATCTCTGTCTCTCTGTCTCTCTGTGTGTATGTGTGTGTCTCTGTGTCTCTCTGTGTCTCTCTATGTCTATGTCTCTGTCTCTGTCTCTGTCTCTGTCTCTGTCTCTCTCTGTGTCTCT